TATAGAAATAATATTTTCGTCGTGTTGTTATAAAATAAAAATTTTACGAAGAATAATAACCTGGTATCCATGATTTATGCTGGCCTGTTGATAACTGCTGACGAATCTCTCAATAGTCGGTAAAATTCTACCAGCCTAAACGAGGGAATATCCCTGAACATAGTCATTTTCATAATACGCACCGTGAAAACCTGAAATCTCGATTATAATATTCGTTTAGTACGATTCATTTTAAGGGAAAACTAACTAAAAATTTACTTATAACTTAGAAGATTTCACAATGAATTACGTTACTGACGTTTTAAGTTAAAAATATTGTCTATGTATTATATTAAACGTATTGTTATTTGAAAACAGATACACTATTCTGAAGAATCTGCATATTATTTATTAAAATTCGTGTCAAATCTAACTACATTTTTTTATATTTTTTTTAAAAAATAATTACAGATATATACGGCGATGCTAACTATTGTACCGACACTAGATTCTACGTAATCATAAAACCAAAGAACATAATGTGTTATCTTGAAGTTTAAAATATTTATAATTTATCTAAACATATTTTGTTTTTAAAGTGTGAAATAACAAATACATTTTGTTTTCGTTTATGTTCTATAGCAATAATTTTGAACTACAATAGTTAAAGATACGAAATCTAAATAAAGGATATTATAATAATGATTTATTAAATAAATATTTGTCAGCTAATAAAATCTCATGGTATTTATTCGTAACAAAGTTATCAACACGTAATTGATCTGTACGCACAACTCGATACAATGCAATTTGTAAGACTATTCATTCACAAATTGTTTATCGATCAAATTCATACACTACGCTATCAAGACGAAAATTATTATAGTAATTTAACGAATTACTGTCGCACAACACAAAAACCAGAAACGCTTACTTTGAATAGAAAATACATTAATGATAACGTTCAGTGGCTCTAGTAAAGCTTCATACTTGAATAAAATAATTTAAATGTATCTCGCTGACGTCACTGGCTGCTACAATAACCGTTCAAAACAACACAAATGCCTAATCTTACCTCGTGTGAAACAGATGTATAGGTTAATGGCTCAAAGTTTGTACGTGTCCTTGAACTTCGCGAACACAGCTGTAGCGTCCGACTTCTGCGCACAACGTATTTTCAGTTTCTGCGCATACAAGGTAACATGTTTCCTTGCAACGATATACCTCGCAAACTAATCTGTTGAGTTTGCGTTTAACACTGAAGAGTTGGTGAACTGCTGATGATGGGTTACAGTACAAATTCTTTAACCATGTCGCCATTTCAGCTAAATGTGAGTACCGATTATGATATATTCTTTGGTTGGAAGTAGAGTATAGAATACGACAGTCACCAAGACAGTGGTAACACGTAGCTGTATTTTTTAATTCTGATTGATATTCAACAAACTCATATATTAATTTACGAATTTTTTCCTTTGCAGAACTGGTTATTTATCTTCACAATTGGCTTTCACTATACAAACAGTGTACTCATGTTAAATGAACATGATAAAAAATCCGAACATCAAATAGAATTCGCTCTAAAATTATTCTCCGAAATTTCAAATAATTTCAAATGCGTTCATTTTATTACGCAGAATGCTTCAGTTCAAAACACAGCATCAAATATCTATAAATTATATGACATTCCAGTAATTATCAGCCACATCGCTATTAAATCCGACTGCCAGGATTACGTCATGATTGTTTCCAACAGCACTCAGGCACTTATTTTAGTAAGAAAATTACATTTAGGAACAAGAAACAAAATTATTTTGTTCAGCTTGGACGAAGAATGTCCAGGCACTGAAAGATTACTCATAGGAGCTAAAGTTATTTTAGCTTGTAGTCTTACAAAATCAATATATAACATTGGCATTTCGGGCGAATTTCTTGTCTTTCCCGAAAATTCCAGATTATTTCAAGACCAATCATCATTACTTCCTGATTACAAGGGTCGTTTGTTACGTGTCAGCACTTTCGACTGTCCGCCATTTTCCTATAGCACTAACGGTAAGTATATGAAATACGATACAGCAAACTTAGGTGGAAGATTCGGACGTTCATAACAAGATGTCGGGCCGATCGCTTCGCTGTTGCTTTGTCTATAAAATTATATATTTGTTTAAATCTTGTCAGTCTAATCACAATAAAATTCCTATTAAATATTAAAATAAACATCACCAATTCGCTGTAGAGAAAGAATGATGCTACGAACATCTCCTTGGTTGTCAGTCAAGCCACTCGCGAATGCAAGACTGCCTCATCTGCTTGCGTCTGATGATTCTGCCGTGGTGATACAGCCCTGTACTCTCAGACTTGGAACCTCCACAACGTATCTACCAGACAGATCACTTTCCAGGTGTTTCGACTACCAGAAACAAGTTCCTGTGCTATTCCATGGCTCGTTATTCAACACACTGGGAACCATCCTACTGTATCTGGTGAGATCCTTCCCCACTGAATGTAACAAACATTTTCTACTCCTATGTTCCATGTTGCAAATTCTTGTACCTGAAGTGACGATAGGTAATGGTACCTTATTTAAGAGTTGTATATTTGAGACGCTAATTATAGCCGTCTTAATAACATTATTTTTTGTTGGGCAAGGCCGTGGTCTAGGCAACCCGGGGTTTTCCTCCGTGGCATCCCAACAATTACTCCTTTCACACGCAGAAGAAGGCAATGGCAAACCACTTCTGGATCATCTGCCAAGAACGTATATGAACAGGTCCCAGTCCGAGAAAAGGATGGAAGGATCCTGTTCATATGGACCTGTCGTCACACAGAACACTAATAATAATAACAGAAATGTATAACCTATATCCTAATATTAACCATCAAACTATGTAGTACATAGAAAGATCTGTGTTTGTATGTTATACATAAGCATGCAAGGCGTGTGTACAGTCCACGACTGTCATCTTGAGACTTGTAAGGAATGAAGAAAGTCCTCCTTCATCCCACTTGTCTCAAGATTACAGTCGTGGACTGTATGTGTGTTTATAGAAACATTAATACACATTTCTCGTTATTAGAACGGTGTAACAGTGTTATTAAATCGTTTGGTAAATAAAAATTAACTTTATAATAATTAAAATTCTACAATTGGATAGATCATGACGACCTAAAACTATATCAAAATTTAATATCACGAATAACTTTATTTCTTTAAAATTATAAACAATACTTTTACAAGAATTATCACGTATTCTATAAGACTGTGTGTAAAACACACATCAGTGTCTGTAGTATGAATACATCTGCTTTAAGTTAAAAACCAGAAGTTTTTTGACGTAAATACGTCTATATGGAAGGGTTATTCCGCAAAAAAGTGTTACGTAAAAGTGACAGGAAAATGTGTAAGATGTTACCTATGGAACGTCGTGTTTACTCGGCATTGTTGTTACCTATGGAACGTCGTGTTTACTCGGCATTGTTGTTACCTATGGAACGTCGTGTTTACTCGGCATTGTTGTTACCTATGGAACGTCGTGTTTACTCGGCATTGTTGTTACCTATGGAACGTCGTGTTTACTCGGCATTGTTGTTACCTATGGAACGTCGTGTTTACTCGGCATTGTTGTTACCTATGGAACGTCGTGTTTACTCGGCATTGTTGTTACCTATGGAACGTCGTGTTTACTCGGCATTGTTGTTACCTATGGAACGTCGTGTTTACTCGGCATTGTTGTTACCTATGGAACGTCGTGTTTACTCGGCATTGTTGTTACCTATGGAACGTCGTGTTTACTCGGCATTGTTGTTACCTATGGAACGTCGTGTTTACTCGGCATTGTTGTTACCTATGGAACGTCGTGTTTACTCGGCATTGGTGTTACCTAGGAAACGTTACATTACTTTACATTACATTCAGCTACCACAGACCCATCTGAAGCCTTACTAATTCAAGTTGATTAAGCAATGTTTTAATCAAACGTATCTCAATTGTAAAGCATGTATAAAGGAAATATTTAGAATAAAGCCAATATATAAACTTCCTTTCCGTATAGACGTATTTACGTCAAATTCTCCGGAACCGTGGTTCCACTGACAACTTTTTAACAAACAAATTATAAATTAATTTACAATTCGTAATTAACCTTTTATAATTTACACGTGTTGACCGTCACAGGTGCACTATTGGATAGATCATGACGACCTAAAACTACATCAAAATTTAATATCACGAATAATTTTATTTATTTAAAATTATAAACAATACTTTTACAAGAATTATCACGTATTCTATAAGACTGTGTGTAAAACACACATCAGTGTCTGTAGTATGAATACATCTGCTTTAAGTTAAAAACCAAAGAACCACCCGAATCAAATAAATGGGGACACAAACAACAGAACGGTTCCTGGTCGGGGGGGATTATGCGTGCTTTAGTGGAGGGTAAAGCTGATGTGGGGTTTTGCTGCATGTGGGTCATGGACCCTCAGGCAAGCGACGTCGACTTTACATTGCCTTGGAACACAGTTTGCGTTACGTTCCTCGTACCTCGACCACAGCGTCTGAACCAACTGAGGGCAGTTTTCCTTCCGTTCGCTTCGTCACTCTGGGTCGCCATCATCGCGTCCATAATGATCACCACGAGTGCGCTGTGGTATTTACAAAAAGCCTTCAATGCCCTAAATACTAATACTGGTAAGCGTACGTTTTATAACTTTCTTTAACCAAAAAACTAAAAATATCTAATAAATAACGATAATCTATTTTTGAGTTTGTAGTTTAAATGCGTCATGTTTGTGTTGAAATTCAGTATATATTTATTTATTATTTCAGTCTATACACAAACTTAGTTTTTAAATGTTGTTGTTAAAATTAAAATTAAAATTTAGCGCTTTTCATCGTTGTTTCGATGTTACATTTCAGCGCTTATTATTTTACGACATGTTTCGATGTTATTGCATCATCCTCAGGTTTTTTATTGTTATTTTCATCTTTAAAACTAATATATATTTATTAATGCAACCATTTATTGA